TGGAGAAGGGGGAGAAAGGCATTTACTGATTTGGTCTTCTGTGTTCTTCCCTCCCCGCAGTACCTGAATCAGTGAAATAAAGATTTGTTAATTGGCAATAAATTATCTTAGATTGCCCTGAGATGAGGTGATGAGGTTGTTTTGCCTGGGACAGTAGCTGTTGGAGATTGTGTGTGATACCCTGACATGGCCCAAAACTGGAGTAATTCGGGAGAAAACCTGAGGAAAAATACTGCCCACTGCGCACCTGTGTGTTTTCTGTTTATGGATTTTTTTAAGGTAGTAAAACCCCTTTTCTCAGTTAGTTCTGGAGTGATAAAACTTCTGGTTTTATCTCATTTATCCTGAGGAAGTGAATCTTTAGTTCACATTTCTCAGATTTTATTCCAATGCTCACAACTACTGACTATTCTCCTTAGCCAGATAAAGCAAGATAAAGTATAAATGTGAAGGTGTAGTTCAAAATCTCTCCCTGTTTTCTCCTTAATAAGTCCTCATTTTGAAAGAAAATTATTACAGCCCACAGTTAATTATTTTAAAACAATTTTACTGTATCTTTCTTTCAAAGAGAACAAACAAAATATAATCACTGAATACATATGCTGTGACTTCATTGCTGCAGGAGGAGAGATGCAATAAAAAAACTAGATAAACTGATAGGAAGAATATCAAACCAAGCTCTGAAGGAGGGCAGGATATAACCATCTTCAGTATTCTGCATTGAATGGGTAGTCCTTGTGAGTTTTGGCCCTGAAGGGAATAAAAGACTTCATTTTAGCCATAATTTTTTTTAATATATCAAGCTCTTAGAGAATATCAAGTGCTTAGAGAAGCCACCAAGGCAGGATCTGAACTTTATAACTGTAGAATGATTTTTCTTCCCAGATTTGTTTTCCTGTATAGTGTGTAGATTTTGTACATTTGGAGCATCCAAATCACTTCATCATTCAAGCTCTTGACCTCCCAGGCAATATTTAGATGTAAAACCTCTGTATATATAGTATTCATTATTTAAGCTTTGGGAAAAAAACCCCAAATACTAAATGCTACCACTTACATGCTCATTGTATAGACTCTCCAGTTTCTGTTAAAGCTGAAAATAGTTGCCATCTCCTCTTTAGTCAATTTGAAGTCAAATACCTAACAAGAGAAACAGCTGGAAATCACTTCTCTGAACAAACCAGAGACTGTAAGCAAAATCTACAGAATTAAAGAACAAATCTAAAAGGGAGACGAGCTGGTTAGCCAAAATTACTGTTTCATGGAAGAGAAAAAGGCATCTCTCTGTATTAGTAAGAATGCATTAGCAGAGGAAATAAAAAAAAATATATCCAAAGTTGCAATTAAACATGCCAGCTGTTGCAGGACACTCGGAAAGCATTTGCATGTGCCACTTCTGCATCTTTTTGTCCTAATCCAAAGGAACAGCTACAAGACTATCTATCAATCTATCTATTTTGAAACCCTAATGACCAGTTTCCGTCAATTAACAAAGGAGCAACACAGTTTATGGACACCAGGACTATTTTCTTAATGCGAAGCCTTTTGTAGTGTGCTACTGCACTCAAGTGCCAGTCAAGCACCATGTGCCAATTCATCTGCAGAACAGGAGACACCATGTAAAGTGACTGCTAAAATTACCAGCATACTGTTACCCAAACTTGGTTCATTCCTGCTTTTCAACTGTAGCCTTAAATGTAGCCCTCAGTACAGTGTGTAGGTAGACAGAGAAAAACTCATCCTCTTGTCCGAGGAGAAGCTGGGAAGGGTGATGTAAAGTAAGATATGCAGGTATTCCCAGAAAAGCCAGGGCAGTGGAAAGAATTCAAAAGTTTATTTAGAAGGCCAGAACACAAGAAATGTACAAATTCCTGACAGTGCTATTTAAGGACTGGGCTCTAGGGAGGAAAAGGCAAGTTCCCACCCTCTCCAGGGCCTTTAGTATCGTCTCTGTTTCTCCCCCGCCTTCCCAAGGCCTCTGTACATGTCTGTTAGGGTTATCTCTCTCTGGCATAGAAGAGAGAGAGATAACATAGCTCTCTTTGCAATCCCCTCTGGGCTGCAGAAGGGGAATAAAAAACCATCTAACTCTCTTGAAGGCACTTTGCAGGCTTCCTAAGTGAAAATGAGTTTCTAGCTTTCCCATTACAAATTCTTCTGGAAGCACAACTATTCCTACAGGTGAGAAAGGATCTCTGTTTGCTCTGCAGGGAGAAGCTGTGCTGTTCCTGAAGGGCAGCACCCAGCTCACTCCTAATCCCTCACCTGGAAGTTCTCCACAATGCGCTGTGGTGTGACAGACTTGGGAATCACAATCACATTTCTCTGGATCTGGAAGCGAAGGAGAACCTGCAAGAACAGAATCAGAAAGAGGATGGTTCTTGCTCTGAAGGAAGCAGAGCCTGTTCCAACAGTCATATTCCCTAAGATATACCCTCTTCTGCAGAGCTGCATTTCAGATCATTCCTATCCCTGCAATCCAGGTAGCACTGCCTGGAGAGCAAAGAGGGGAAGTGGTGGAGGCCCCCATGGAAGACCACCTTTCCTATTCAGTTTAGGGACAAACAAGTCCTGTCTTACCCACCCAAACTTCTATCAAGATTTTATTATCTGTAACAGAGGACTTGAGATGAAGACTGAAACATTACAGCATCCACAGATGGGTCAAGAAAATGTTTCTTGTTTGCAAGTGTCAGAGGACACTTGCATTGCAGGTCACACAGTAAACAGACTGTACTGCTACCGAACACCACAAGTGGCAAGGAAGGAAATGCCACCTTGTCCTGTGTTACAGGAATGGATACCCACTGTCTGGAATCTGTGTACCTGTGCTGTGGATTTCTTGTGCTTGGCTGCAATTTCTTTGATCTTGGGGTCATCCAGGAGGGAAGGATCCTCTGGCTTAGCCCTGTGCAGGGGAAAGATATACTTAGTGTCTCAGTGCTTCAAGCATAACCCACACCTGTTCCCTTGCAAAGCAGTCTTACCATGGTCTGTCAGGAGAGCCAAGGGGACTGTATGCTGTCACAGCAATCCCTTTGGATTGACAGTAGTGTACCAGCTTCTCCTGGGTAAGGTATGGATTACATTCAATCTACCAACAGAAGAGCATAGAGATGGATAGCAGTACAACTGCTGTAACTCACTCCAGGGATTAGCTCCTAATGCACTTAAAGGTTGGTATTTGTCCTCATGTACTCGTCTTTGCAAGGTGTTATTGAGTCTTAGTTTTCTACAGCACCTATTTTTACAGTGAGGTTTCTTGTATATCTGGGCTACTGCTCGGGAAAAAAAGCATTTCATAAGGCTTATCCCTGAGTTCTTTGGCCCCAAGAAGGCACATTCTGAGATGCTTTTTGGATTTCCAAGCAGTAGTTGAGCAAATATTGAGAACCCTGATGCCTTGTATGTTCAACTGTAATGTGGACTGGGATTAGAAGGACATGCAGCATCTGCTCTGTAACCGCTCCTTATGTGTTCTAGTCATAAAAATCCCTTTCTTGTGAGTTTGTGTGAATGTGTTACATAGATACAGTAGTTTGGGACAGAAATGCATTTTTTTCCTTTTAGCATGCTCTTTTTCTATAACTACATGCAGAGAAAGGCTCTGGAGACTGAGTGAATTTAGCACTCTACGTGAACTTGCAAGAACTAATGGATTCAGAACTGCAAGAGGTGTCTGAGTCTGTGTAATATTCCTGGGAGAGATAAGTATCTACAGCAGGTTCTGGAGCATAGAAGAAGGCAGTAGCTTTGTGTGCAAAGGCTAGGTAATTTTTTTGATATGTCTATATATACACACTTTATGTTTTATTTTATATAAATAAAAAAATCTTCAGGGCAGATGTCATGAAGCCACTACTTCTGCACAACAGTTAAAACTGATCACCCTTTTCCAGCTGGGTGACTGAATGAACTGTGCATGCCTGCATGAGAAGAAACGTGTGTTGTTTGAGCAATTATCTGCTATTAATAAGAGATGGGTGCCATCACTAATAAGAGAACAAGTATTGTATTTTAAGAAGTTCTTGTTGTAATTTGTGTACCACAACTCCATTCCCTATCTGGACACAGGAGATCTACAACATCTTCACATATACCCAGAAGTAATCAGAGGGTGTTACTGTGCTATTTTCTTCTCCCTCTTGCATCTCCTCACGCAACTGTAATCAGATCCTTATAATGCCTGAAAAAACCAGTCACCTGAAGTCTCCTTGCAGCTTACCTGGACATTTGCAGGCTTGTGCTTCAGTCCTGGCTTGTTCAGGATTCTTTCAATCTGCTCGTGGTTGAAGTTGGAGACTCCAATGGCTTTTACCAGACCACAGTCCACCAGCTCTTCCATGGCCTGATACAAAGAGGAGCAAAGTCAACATCCAGTATGCAAGACAAGGCCTAAAGACATTATTCCTGGTTTGTCTTTGTTTCTCTTCACGGGAAGGGAAAGACAACTATTTGGACTTGCAAAGTTTGTCTCTTGGGGGAAAGTGCTCCCTGGTGTATTTGTGCCATGTCTTCCACCTCACCCAAACCCAAAGGCTCCTTCTTGAGATGGCAGAAATTCACATAATGATAAGTTACTTAATAATGATAAACAATAATGTGTGGAGTGAGCACCAGGGGGCTGTACTGCAGCTGTGGACAAAATCACAAACTAACTTATTTCAGCAAAGTGTATTTGAGCCGTTTAAGAATGGTAGTAAAGACAGTTCTGTTTCTGTCATGGTCAAGCAATCTGGTCTGCAGCTCTGCTGAAGATTATCAGCTTCACTAAGCATGTATGTTTTAAAAAAACAACACTGTATACAGTCTGATAAATGCATAAGAACTTTGTGAGTGCTAAAGGTAATGAAAGCATGGAATAGACTGCCAGTGACAGCAAACATGCTTCTCCCACTGTGACTGAACTTACCTCCCATGTATCTAGAAAATCTGCATTGCTGGGTATAGACATGCCTTTGTCATCTTTGGGGAACAGCTCCTCTCCTGCCTGTCAATGAGAGACAAAATGCTTGAAACACTCATTATTGGGAAGTTAATAGCAACACAACTGAAGACAACATTAGCTTTAACTACTAGTAGAGAAAATACCAATATTTGTCTACATAGTTCATGCAGGTTTATGGTCTTTTGCCAGCAACCATTCCTAGTAGGAGTGACAGGATGAAGTAAAGTCGCGACTCACTAAAACACACACAGATAAACAAATCACACCACTTGTGGAACAAAGTGGAACAAACAAGCTTCCTGTACTCCTCTATCATGCCTTTAAGAGAGAACTGTTGTTTTGAAGGACCTGTTAAGGTCCCAGAAACATTTAAATCAGGTTTAGGGTGAGCCACATCTCCTGAAAAACATATTATGTAAACACACAGGTCTCTCGTGAGGGGAGCCTCAGTTTAAATTAGTGGCACTCGGAAAATCAGAAAATCCCAGGTGTACAAACTCAGAAATAAATTCCTGTATCTTCATATTGCTCCACGTCTAGTGTTGTGCAAATGTCAGAATATTATGCCATGACACTTTTACACAAGGTCTTTGTTCAAATAAAACCTACCATGACATCTTGCAAAGTATGACAAACAGTTGACACGGTCAAAAGCAACAGATAGGATGGAGGCCTTAACCTTTTTGCAGCAGAAAGGAAAAGCCAAGGCTAGACATGGACTGAGACATGAAGTATGAGGTGTACTTTATGTAATTCTGACACAGATGTCAAAAAAATCTCACCTTTTCAAATTCAAGGTCTGTGGAACAACTTAAAGGCTCCTACAGCAAAGGTCAGCTCAATCTGTACTATATTAAGGACTCAGTGATTAAAGAAAGAAATGGAAGACAGAAGAAGTCTCTTGTTCTGTGATTCTGTAACATGCAGAGGAAACAATTTCTGTCAGGTAGCAAAGTACAGCCTTCCTTCCCACAAAGCAGGGAAAGATGATTTAGCCAAAAGTAAAGCAGCACAACTCAAGCTTGCAGCTGGGAGGCTTGATCTTAGTGCTAGGTCTGCCTGTCCATTATCAAAAGGGCAGAGGACGCTGTGCAAGCCTCACTCTCAGGGGCAGAGATCAGGAGCACAGCTCACATGGCCAGAGTAAAGGTGAATGGGCAGCACTGTCACAGTGCTGGTACACACCAGACACATGCTCTTTCTGGTGCTGCAAGTGCTCCTGGCAGTTTTGAGGAGCTCTCCCAGGAGGAAAAGCCAAGGGCATTGCTATTACTGTACCTTCAACCCAGTAGGCCAGTGCATGAGGTAGAGATCCAGGTAATCCAGTTTCAGGTCAGTAAGAGTCTTCTGGCAGGCTCCCTTCACCAGAGGCTTCTCGTGAAATGTGGACCACAGCTAGGGGCAAAAAACAAGGCACACTGTGACCTCCTGGGTTAAATATCTTGGAACCCTTCTGTACTGTTCCAGCAAGAACCTGTTTCCTTTGGAAGGTGATGTGGAATTAGGCCACCCTGTTTCTTTTCAGATGGGGCTTGCTCTGTAAGCAGGACTGGGCAATGGCCACTGATACGAAGGACAATATGTGCTGTGGTGGCATATGTGATCAAAAAGGGTTGTAAACTAAAAACTGACCCTGTTCCATTAGTCAAGATATGCAAAAGCCACTTATTACAGGCAGATATGGGTTAAAGAGCTCTTTTTAAATTAATAGTTTCAGTGGTGAGCCAAATCCAGAATTTTCAGCAGAAGCAAGTTAAAACCAGGACACTTTCTGGGACCATTTAAGCTTAACACATCCTTTGAACAATCCCATGAAAATGGAGAATGTGAAGCGTATCTTAGATAACTCTATACAAAATACAGTGACAAAAATCAGCCTTCATCAATATTGGCCTGAACTATGTCCTGAGGTACTCCACTCTATAGCATACAACCTTTTCCCCTGCTCTGAATTTCCCTCTACACAAAGCAGACCTTCCCCTGGATCCTAGGTCACTATATCCTTACCTTACTGACGACGAAGAGGTCTTCTCGTTTCACAACACCTTCCTTGATTTTCTGCTGGATCCCTTCCCCAATCTCACTCTCATTCAGGTACACATAGGCACAGTCAAAGTGGCGGTACCCGGCATCGATGGCAGCCATCACTGCAGCTTTGACTTGCCCAGCTGCAGACTGAAAACAGAAGGTTAAGATCCCAAATCAAAGCATACAGGCCATTTCCTAGTTATTTCATCATCATCATCATCATCATCAT